CAGCAGCTAAAGGCTAACCTGTATAGTCCAGCAGCTAAAGGCTAACCTGTATAGTCCAGCAGCTAAAGGCTAACCTGTACAGTCCAGCAGATAAAGAAGCTAAAGGGGACAGGGTCCTCACCTCTCTAGAACACCTTGGAACAGGAAGGGAACAGAAGTGGCTCCAACAAAGAGCCAGATGATGAGGCAGGCGGCGGCGGTTCTTCGGGTGATAGTTTTGGGGTTGTGATCGAGGGGGGCCGTCACAGCCTTCCAGCGGAGCACGCTCAGCAGAGTGAAGAGCAGGATGCTGAGGGGCAGAGGTGGTCTTTTAAATCATAAACAAAGACAGAAAGGTGGGGGCTCGTTCCTTCACTCACCTGGAGTACAGGTTRACGTAGAAACCAAAAACACAGACTCTGCAGAGCCAGTCTGGGAAGTCCCAGATCCCGTCCCTCACGTAGTAGACCAGCCTGAGAGGGAGGGTGAGGGAGAAGGCCCAGTCTGAGAGGGCCAGGTTCACCATGACCACATGGGGGGCCGAGATCCTGCAGGAGGAGGGAGGAGAAAAACAGCTAAACAACAGCCGAACTCAGTCCCTTTCTRAAGTAAACATTTTAAAACGATCAAAAACAAAACTTTGTTTTATATAGTTTACCTAMAGGAAGGAAAATATGAAATGTAAATTTTATTTTGAAGGGAAATTCCATCCAGAGTTTATACTTTAACAAGCATTTGTTTTCTGCAACATCCKGAAACAGCTAAAAATATCAGCCGAAGGATCTGAAGCATGTTTCTTCCTCTTCAGGGTCTCATTTGTYTAAAACAACATTTTCCTGTGGACACGCTTCTTATCTGGACTCTGATCAGCTTCTGTTTCCCGCTCTTTGTGCAGACAGGTAAACACATGGACATGCTGATGAGTTTCATTAGGTGGACTGGCTGAAAGCAGCTGAAGCTTTAGCTGCAGKGCAAAATAAAAAGTTAGTCTGCAGACGTGTCACCTGAACAAAGAGCGACACCAAGTGATTAACTCAATACAATACAATATACATTAACCTAGTGTCAGAACCTCAGCTGGACTATACTAATAATAAACCGTTGAACTATAAATCCACTTAAACTGTCAGATGTGACCAGTTCAACCAAATATTTGACAAAAACAAAAGAAACAGCCGACACACCTGGAGAGTTGCAGGTAAGGGTGGAGCTTTTCTTCCTGTCATTCTGACATTCTCAGGCTGAAGCAGCGTCACTTTCTATCCTCTGATAACTTCATAACTTTGATTTAACAACGTGGGAACATCAGTGAACAAAGGAGAGAAATTAAAACTAACTATATGACACCTCAGATTTCTGCTACCACAGATTCCACTGAGTCCAAGGTTCTGAGTCACGAGTCCAGGTCCACAACACAGACTTCARATATTATTTTATCTGCACTTAATGTCTGATAATATAAAGAATGTGSAATAATTCAGCATATTTATTCATTTGAGCCTTTATTTTGAAATTAATTAGACTTTGCTGAGTTCTGATCACAAGAGACCACCTCCATGTAGAACCACCGCCCACAGGGAGGACCATCAAGGTCGGGTGCGATGCATGCCTGGGCAGCAGGCGAAGAAGGTTCCTGGCCATGCTGATTCCTGGTGAAAAACACTGGCTCTAGGGACATGGACTGTAACCTTACTCGCGGGTAAGGAGCCGGAACTTGTGGGTGAGGTTGAGCGTTACCAGCTAGATATAGTTGGGCTCACCTCAACTCGCAGCTTGGGCTCTGGAACCCAACTCCTGGAGAAGGACTGGACTCTCTCCTACTCTGGAGTTACCCAGAGAGAGAAGCTCACMAGCCYCSTGTGTGCCTCTGTGTTGGAGTTCACCCCGGTGAATGAAAGGGTTGCCCCTCTGTGGCTTCATGCTGTAGGAGGGAAGGTTCTGACTGTTTGTGCTCATGCACCAAACATCAGTTCAGATTACCATTTGGATGGTGTCCTGGAAGGGTTGCCATCTGGAGACTCCCATGTTCTGCTGGGTGACTTCAATACCCATGTGGGCAATGATGGAGTTATCTGGAAGGGGGTGATTGGGAGGAACGGCCTCCCTGATCTGAACCTGAATGGTGCTCTGTTATTGGACTTCTGTGCCAAGGATGGGTTGTCCATAACGAACACCATGTTTGAGCATAAGGGTACTTGGTACCAGGCACTTGGCACCAGGCCACCTTAGGCCAAAGGTAGATGATCGATTTTGTCATCTAACCCGTGGCTCTATGTCTCAGACACTTGAGTGAAGACAGGGGCGGAGCTTTAACTGATCACCACCTGGTGGTGAGTTGGATCCAGTGGCAGGGGAGGCTGCTGGACAGACMTGRCAAACTCTCTGTTTACATCGGAYGTGGGAGGAATTCTGGGAGGCCATGGAGAAGGACTTTCGATMGGCCTCGAGGAGGTTCTGGCAAACCGTTCGATGACTCAGAAAAGGAAAGTGTTTCCTGTCTTAGGCTGTACTTGGTTTGGGTGGGGAACKGCTGACCAGGRCTTAGGAAATCATTGGATCTCCTGAATCCACCCTCMATRTCCACCTTTGAGGAGRCAGAGTCTGAAGACTCAGGGAAGATGAGTCTATTACCATGGCAGAGGTCACCGAGGTAGTCAAAAAGCTCCTTGGTGGCAGGGCACCAGGGGTGGATGAGATTCACCTTGAGATGCTGAAGGCTCTGGATGTTGTGGGGCTGTCATGGTTGACACATCTCTTCAACGTCATGGWGGACTGGGACAACTCCTGKGGAGTGGCAGACCGGGATGGTGGTTCCCATTTTTAAAACAGGGGACCGGAGAGTGTGTTCTAACTATTGTGGGATCACAGTTCTCACCCTCCCTGGGAAAGTTTACTCCAGGGTGTTGGAAGGGAGGCTCCGATCAATTGTCGAACCTCAGATTCAAGAGGAGCAGTGTAGCTTTCATCTTGGGCCTGGAAAAGTGGACCAGGGGTCTCATTTATAAAGGATTGTGTGGAAACCATACTAAAAGTGAATGTTCGACCAAAAGGCAGAAAC